GTCCTCGTCTGGGACTACTCTGAAATTCTTCGGATTTCATACATAGAGATATAGTTATGAAAATAGACCGGCGTCCCTGTCACCCGTCCTGTCTACCCGGGCAGACAACAAAACGGCAAAAACGGCGTTTAAACGTCTCAACATCTGAACTATTTAAACAGTGTCATTAGTCGCCAAAAACGCGTTAAAACAGTTTATGAAAAATTAACTTTTAACACGTTTTACATGTTTAAACGCTTGGAGTCATTGAAATTGTAACTGTTTTAACGCGTTTTTGGCGACTAATGACACTGTTTAAACAGTTGAAATAATTTCCCTTGTCACGCCTCTTAATGATCAACAAACGTTTCATCTAAACGATGAAGTATCAATAATTTATAACTAAATTTTCTTCTCATTGATAAACTGATCGATTATATTCAAATTATCATTAGATTAATGTTAAATTGACACATGTTTATAGTTTATACTTTGAAAACAGTGCAGAGAATTTATCTCTCATCAGTTCGTTTCTTTTTATGTTAAGAGTAAGTGTATATTTTACTATTTACTTATTGATATTTTTTTCTTTTTGTTTTTTTTCAATAGTTGAAAGAAAGATAAAAAATGTAGGTTTAATCGAACAGCATTAACACCTTGTCATACCATTCCACTATTAGAAAAAAAACAAAAAGAAAAAAATACCAACAAGTAAATGGCAAAATGTAAACTTACTCTTAACATAAAACGAAACGAACTGACGAGAGATTTAATTCTCTGCACTGTTTTCAAAGTATAAACAATAAACATATGTCAATTTAACATTAATCTAATGATAATCTGAATATAATCGGTCAGTTTATCAACGAGAAGAAAACTGAATTATTTCCATTCATGTTTCAAATAAGTGACGGATAAGATAGACTGATGAATAGATTTAAAATAGTACGACTAACACAGGAATTGATAAAAAGGCAAAGCACGGACTATCTAACCAGCTTCTAGTATAAGGAAAACTACAATCGGAACTTCTATGGTAGACAGATGTTCTTTTCAAGTATCATTAATAAATTTAACTTCATTTCGATCAAATTCTAAAATATCAAAGTACGGAGATATGATATAACTAGAAATGTCATCAACGCACTACGAAATCTCATAATTAGTGTGTATTAAGTCGGTCGCGAAATTGATTAAGGCACACCTATGCATCAGAATGCTATCTGCTTTTTCCTGTAGTGACGATATTTCTTTTAAAGCTCATTCATATTTCGATGACTTAAGATTCCCTTTTCATCGAGTAGAAAACTCAACTGTTTCAAACGTCTCATATGTCACACGTACTCGTGATGAACATTATATATGAAACATTTCAAGTGAGGAATATTTAATGGACCCTGCTATGTTTATCGTCTGCGAGCAACTCTGCTAGTTGTATTGTCATAAGTATCGTACATGTTATGTCTAAGTCAACACTAACCTAGTGAATATTGAAGTATTTTTCACAGAAACTCACTATTAATAGCCATGCAGTAAGTGTCCTATTCTTTCTCTCGTTCTGAGTGATTTCCGCAGAAAAGAACTTATCTAATTCGAACATATCTAGTCTTACACAAAAGAAGTATGTGCCATTACATATAGTGAATTTAACATTAATTTTAAGTATACGTTAGAAATAAAATGGCCTACTCAGTTAGGCAACTATGTGAACGAAACAGAACACAAATGAATTCCAAATGAAAAGAACAGACGAATAATCGGACGAGAGAGTGATAAAAGAATGACCTCTTTTTTCCTTTTTCTGTGAACTGGACGGACGGAAAGAAAAGACAGAATAGAAAAAATTTCTTGCAAATGTGGACTGATGATAACTCTGTTTCTATGTGACGATGATAACTAGATGAAATATACAATAGTCAAGTTTTGAAACTTTTATTGAAACAGCTAATCTCTATGTCATTTTTTTAATTATAACCTATATGAGAACAGGATAACTTGTTTATCTTGGTTAAACATGATTGTTGCCCATACGTACTTGCACTTTTAAAAGAAAAATAGAGAAGATTATGATTATCATATAATCTAAGAAGGAAGGAATCGTTTATGTTGTTAGTATGATATACTAACATGTAATAACATTAATGATGATTTCCCCCTTCCATTTAGTTTTTGAACGTTAACAATATTTGTCTGCACTTATTATAATTCACAAAATACAACTGAGCTAGAATTAATCTTCTTAAATGTGCAGTAAAATAAACCAATATTGGTTAAGATGATGTTATAATATTCATTGAACAAATCACTATAACGTTAATTGTCTACACGCTGATTGTTAAAGATATTCAGCATGAGATGTGCTGCACGACTATTCCTGTTTAGCAAATCAGTTTATGGCAGTTACTCTGATGCAAATCAAAGATAAGCTTTCTTACATTCTCATCAGATATTGACACCGAACAATATTTGTCTTAACGGTTTTTAATTGACAGTGGAATATTGCTGAGTAGATACACTGACAATACATCGATATAGAATATGTAAAGTCACTACACGGAGTATTTTCAGTAAGATCGTTATACTGCTATCGATTTTGACTTCGACTTAATGACAATAAAAAAATTTTCTTGGTTTAAAATTTCTGTTCACTAATAATAAATATCGGATCTGATCCTTTGCTGTTTATTAGGAAAAGATACATGTTCTAACCATCAGTTGCCTGTTACTAATAAACAACGAATTGTAAAACTTACTACTTATTAAAAAGTAACCAGACTGATTACTCACTATGTTGTGTTACGTGATTTAGATACATTCAACCAGGCATAACTGTCAGAGAATAGTTAAATTAAAAATTTACTACTCATTAGTAACAGATTAGTAGGGCAGACTATCACCTACTAGCAACTAGTTAGTGACGATGCACATGACTTACTGACAGCATAATAATAAAATTTTTGTAGTTTTGATTGTTTTTTTGGTAATCGAAGCAAAACGGAAAAATACTGTTAAAACGTTTTTTTTTCGAAAAAAACACGAAATTGGGGCATTTTTAATGGTTTTGTCAAATTTAGTTGAAAATAAACTGTAAAAACGATTTAAAAGTGAAAAATTCAGTCGTAAACGCGTTTAAACGAGTTAAAACGGTGTAAACGCTTTTTTAACGCGTTTAAACGCCTTTCTAGCCGTTTATTGTCTGCCTGGGTAGTCTTTGTCTCAAAAAGTCCTCGTCTGGGACTACTCTGAAATTCTTCGGATTTCATACATAGATATATAGTTATGAAAATAGACCGGCGTCCCTGTCACCCGTCCTGTCTAGTCTTTGTCTCAAAAAGTCCTCGTCTGGGACTAGTCTGCATACTAGACAATAATGTCCTGTATCAAGCGACTTCGACCCAGTCCTAGACGAGTCTTTCTCAAAAAAAGACTAGACTAGGTACGTATAATGTCGCCCGTCAATCATGTGATTTAGACGGGGCTTCATGACGCCCAACAATCCCGGACTAGGCATGTCATAGTCGAATTTGAGACAAAGACTGGGCATGACGGGTCGACATGACTAGAAAAAAGACGAGTCATTTAGCCCGTCTTGAGCTCACTTGGGCACTGAAATTTTACATTCGTTTACTTGCTAGGGCGGATCGCTCCAAATGATGGATAGTTTCTCAGTTTGTATTTCGTCAAATACTATTAGACTACCTATTCTACATTATCTGAAAAGCATCCTCTCCTGTTTAAAGTTGTAACTGGAAGATGGGCTCGGACATTATCCATTAACTAGAGCAGTCCTTTTCTAATAACTTCTTTAGAAGACTTGTGTTCGACAACAAAGATTGTTGTTTTTTTTATCACTTACTTTGATTTCTTTAGTAGTAATTGAACTCAACGAGCAGCAATTCATCAAAATGCTGATAATAAATGTTCAAAGAATATGCGAATCTTTTTCGGATGTATTATATTTGCTAATTCGACAAATCGCGATAGAATATCTAATCGAAATTAAAAACAAATTAAAAACAAATTTAAGTCATATAATAAAAATAACCTTTTAAAGTTCGTGGTGCAACATTTGGATTACATTTTATAATTCATAAAAAAATTATACAAAAAAAAGGATTTCTTTCTTTAATACTTTAACAAGTTTATTGAGGTTTTCTTTGGTAGCTAATCGTATATCATAATCATTTTTAACACATGTTGTAAATAATGTTTCCATAACAGCTGTAACTAATTTTAAATGATTTTCATTGTTACTTCTAGATGAAAAAAACATTCAATAAGAGATAAAATTTTAAAAAATCGAATTCTTTACCTAATTATTAATGTTTCAGATGCTCTTGTTGAAATTAATTTTAAAACTTCAAATGATTTACTCATTTTATCCATTTTGTCTAATTTATTTTAAATCCAAATAAATAAGTGTAAACATCAATTGATAATAATAATGAATAAATGGTCGACTGACAATGCTTAATATCGATTAAATGTTCATTAAACATATCATTGACATTTTTGTTTCCTTCAATTGATAGACGACGCTAGGTTACGTATTTACAAGACATGACTGTATAAAGTGAAAATTTTATTTATTTCTTATATATATTTCTCTTCCGATGTTCTTGGAATCAATGTATGCCTGCAAATGAAGAGAAGATCCATAACAAGCTAAATTTCATTAACTGTTTTTATTTTATTTTAGTTTGCTATCCAGAATTTTTTTAATTTTATTATTAGTAGTTGTAAAGTCATATCTTCACACTTATCTTTGAAATTATTTCTTCGAACAACTGAATAATGAAAACCGGGAAATAAATAAAATTATTTGATAAAATTCTTTGAACATTAATGACGACTCATCACTAGTTGATGATCTTGCTTCTCGTCATTCCAGATTCTTGATTTTCTTGGTTATCAGCCAAGATTCTTTTGCCATTCCTTCTACACAAGATTATATGAATCATTTTCATCACATTGTGCATCTTGATCACGTGCTATTGGTCGTGTTGGTAAACGTAATATAAGAATATAAATTTTAAATGTTTTATGAAGTTGACTATCTAACAATATATTTGATTGTAATTGTAATTGACAACCCAGTGAAAAATATTTGCTTCAACGAACGAGTGTGGGTGTGGGTGTGTGGGTGGAAGTAAATTTAGAGAAGACTCACACCCAGACCCACATCCACACCCGCACCACACCGACACCCCACATCCACACCCATCCCACACCCGCATGATTGAATCTTTTGAAATTGTTCTCTTCGGAAAACAGTCAAATGCTGATTCTTCAGTTTTGCCTATAAATTACGATATGAAATGCTTGAATAGGGTGTTGGTGCGGGTGTAGGTGTGGATGTGAATGTGGGTGCACGTGTGGATCTTAGTATGATATGGTTATTAGCTTACTGAAGATTCACACCCACACCCACACCCTTTTCTTACTGAAGTATTTGAACCAAAACATATCGATTAGAGAGTCAATGTTGGATGTTTCTAATACAGAGTTTATCCAAATTCGATTAATTTTATTTCAATATGAAATATATGATGGACTAGAGAAAAGTTGACTCTGTAGTAATTATTTCATTGAATGAGCTGCATTGATTACCATCTCGCTCATTTATTATTACGTCATTAATGATGCCGTATTTTCAGTGTTTTTCTAACGCATTTGAGATTCCTAACTCTCAATGTTCGTCTATTGAATGTATTTTTACCAATGAAATACTATTAATAATTATATGAGACTTTGCTTTCTGGAACTTGCCAGTGTCTATCCATAATTCTCGATCAAATGTTTCAAGGTTTTACAATCTAACTATCCTAAGAAATTTTGCTTCACTGTTATTCTCACCACGCAATCTCCGACCATATATCCTAAATCACTTAGTCATAGACATTCTCTTTATATGTTCCATCCATCCGTAGATCTGGAGATAGTCTTGTTTTACTCACGTTCACGCTTGTGTTCTCCTTCGATCCCGAAATCTTATTACTTGCCAAGAAAGATAGCTCAAGCATTGAGATTTCTTAGAAAGGAATAGACACTCAACGAAGATGGGAAAACAACATTGTAGCTTTTAAGTTGCATTTTGATAGATGATTGGTTTTCAGTTTTGTATTAGAAAGGAGTTTACTAAGCCACTATATGGTATATATGGGAAAAAATGACACTGAAATCGAGGATTAGCTTGACTGAAAGAGGTTTGCTTTTCAGCTGAACAGTCCGTTTTATTCTTTCATTTCACCAAGAAATCAGTTCCACGCTAAAGAATTAATCAATTCGATTAATAATCGGAGTCGGAGTCATAAGAACAGTCTTCAAAAAATTGAATTCTTTCATCTCCGTTGTTGGAGTCCCGGAATTGTTGTGATATCGAATAGGTGCTTATAAGTTTCAATTTTTTCAGTGTCTGAATATAAAATTATAGATAAGCATGACTAAACTGTGTAGAAAAGACTACGTCACCATATTTTCACGCAAAGCAAAAACCAATTGTTTTGCTGCATCATCTCTGATTTCATTACCACTCAGATCCAGTTCGGCAAGTGTCTGTACGAGAAAGATAATGTCACTATGAATTAAATCAATGAAGAAAATAAACCACTTTATTGTTTTTTATAACGCACATCAGACTTTGTGCTCCAGGATCACCTATTTTGTTCCATCCCAGATTTAATGTTGTCAGCGTCTACGTAATCAGCAAATATGAATATGACGATGCTTTGATAATCTATGAATCTTACTGTGTTATGTTGCAATGCATCAGAGAGATATTCTATCCCATTGGCTCCAATCTCATTCGATGTTAGTGTCAAATTGACCAATATCTATGACAAAATTTCAGCCGAAAATAGGTAAAGAAAATAAGTTACTTTATTGTTTCTCAATAAAGCCGCTATATACTTTGCTCCAGAATCTCCTATTCTATTGTATCCAAGATCCAAAGTTGCCAGAATCTGATTAAAACATGAATGCCAATGTGAAATTGATTCGATAATCTATAAAACTCACAGCGTTATGTTTTAATGCATCAGAAATATATTGTGCTCCATCTTGTCCAATCTGATTCGATCGAAGAATAAGCGCCGTTAACGTCTAGGAGAAAAATTCAATATGATCATCGATTAAATTGGTTAAGAAAAGTAGGCACTTTGCTTTTTTTTAATATACGGGCGAGACATTGTACTCCGAAATCTTGAATTTTGTTCTCTGCAAGATCCAAAGTTATGAGCATCTTAAAGAACAATCAAACAAAGCATGAGAGTGATTTAAGAGTTTATCAAAGCTGACTTGGTGATTTTCTAATGCATTAGAAAGGTATTTCATAGCCGTGTCACCAATTTCATTCGAGCGAAGATTCAATGTAGTCAGTGTCTAAAGGAAAGAAGAGAAACGTTATATGAAACATAAACAAGAATGCACTATGTAATACTTGGTTATATTGTAATGCATCAGAAAGATGGTGTACTAATTTGTCGTCGATATTTGAGTCCGAGAGATCTAACTCAGTGAAAGTCTATATAAAGAACTCAACGCGTATATAACACAGATTTAGATGATTATAAGTCACTTTGTCATTTCGTAATTGTACTGCTGCTTCGACAACTGCACAATAGCCACCTTTACTTCCATCTAGTTCGAGTTTTGTGAGTGTCTGAATGAAAAGTTGAACGTCAGTATCACTAATCAGAAATGTATATTACCTTATTTTTTCTTAAAGAATCAGCTAGGTACCGTACTCCAGTGTCGGTTATTTGAGTCTTTTTCCTGTAACGCCGACCGACTATCAATGTATTAAGTGTCTAGATATCAAATATAGTAACAAACAAACAGCCGAAAGATTCAACTTAATCTCTCACTTGATTGTTCTGCAACATATCAGCAAAATGCTGCATTCCAATGTCACTAATTTGGTTTTTCGAAATATCAAGCACAGTGATTGTCTTCATAAAAACAAAATCATAATTATTCTTAGAATGACTTTGAAAATATTTTACCGTATTATTTCGTAAGATTTCGGCTAGGTATTGTGCTTCAGCGTCTCCAATTTCATTGTAGGACAGATCCAACTCTGTAATTGTCTAATCAATAATGAAATCATGATCTTTAGTGCATTAACTAAAAAAAATTGTCACTTTGTTGCTTCGTAATACATGTACGAGATATTTTGTTATACTACTCCCAAACAAATCTTTCCAATGAAAATACATTGTAGTACCCTTCTACAAGAAAGCATTCAAAATCATGAGAGAAAAAATCAGTCGATCTCAGAGCACCTTTTCACTGAATCTTTCAATCGATATGCTATAAGTTGCAGAGCTCCAATAATTAGTCGGATGTAGTTTTAATTCTGTTATTGTCTGCATAAATACATGGATTAGTTCCATAGAAGATGAAAGTGATAAGACAAACTTCATCGTTTTGTAAAAAATTAAAAATTTGCTGCACATCTGTATCGTCAGTAATATTATTCTCAAGACGAAGTTGATTGATTGTCTATGCAAGAAAAAACAATATTCTCACTAATAACTCTAAGTCAGTAATATATGTCACTTTATTGGTTCGTAATGCATCAATTAAATAGTGTATCCCTTTGACTCCTATTCGATTATCGGAAAGAGATAATTTCATCAGTGTCTGTAAAAAAAAGCAAAGCTTCAGTGTGATTACTATAAATGTGAGTACTAAATATATCACTTTGCTATTTTGTAAGACTCGAGCTAAACCTTCAGCGCCAATATCTCCAATTTTATTGCTTGAAAGGTCCAACTCAGTAATTGCCTGGTTAATAAACAAATCATATTCATCGATGAATTCATTTAAAAAAATTAGTCACTTTGTCGCTTTGTAATGCATCTGCTAGATATTTTGTTTCAGTATCTCCAAAACGACTTTTCCAAAGAATATTCATTGTGACAGCTTCCTAAAACAAAGTGTAAGAAGCTATGAGAAAAAAATGAGTCACTCTCAAAACACTTTATAGATGGATCTTTCAATCTTTATAATGATTTCTTTATAGTGCAAAACACTAATAGACATTAGTTGCAGTTTCTTAATTGTCTACATTATTACATAGATTAGCACAATAGAAGATGAAAGTAGTAACACGAACTTCATTATTTTGCAACGAATTGAAAAGTCCCTGTACTTCTGTATCGTCATTAATCTTGGCCGAAAGGTTAAGCTGACAAATTGTCTATGTGAGAAAAAATATACTCGTGATTAAATGTCAATCAATGAAATATATCACTTTATTTATTCGTAATACATCAAATAAACATTGTATTCCAATGATTCCTATTGGATTATCTGAAAGAGACAGTTTGGTCAATGTCTGCAACAAAAAGTTAGCTTCAACATGATTGCTATACGTGTGAGTAATAAGTTACTTTGTTATTTTGTAGAACACGGGCCAAGCATTCAGTGCCCATGTCTCCAATTCGATTCTTTGAAAGGTCTAATTCAGTAATTGTCTGGTTAATAAAGAAGTCATATTCAACAGTGAATTCATTGAAAAAAATATGTCACTTTGTCGTTTTGTAATATATCTGCTAGGTATTTTATTTCATTACTTCCAAAACAATTTTTCCAACCAATATTCATTGTGGCATCTTTCTAAAAGAAAGTGTAAAAAACGATGAGGAAAAGAAATCAGATGATCTCAAAACACTTGATAAGTAGATCTTTCAATCGATATATGGTAATTCGTATCGTCTCTACTACTAATTGCATTTAATTTCAATTTCGTGATTGTCTGCATAAATACATGGAATAGTACAATAGAGGATGAAAATGGTAATACAAACTTCATTATTTTTTAATAAATAAAAAAATTGCTGTACTTCTATATCGTTATTAATCTTGATCGAAAGGTTAAGCCGACGGATTGTCTACGTGAGAAAAAATATACTCGTTATTAAATGTTAGTCAGTGAAATATATTACTTTATTCGTTCGTAGTACATCAAATAAATATTGTATCCCAATGATTCCTATTGGATTATGTGAAAGAGACAGTTCCGTCAATATCTACAAAAGCCAAAGCTTAAGTATATTTACTATTAAGTGTGAGTAATGAATCACCTTGTTATTTTGCAAGACTCTTGCTAAACATTGAGCACCAATATCTCCAATTTCATTCCTTGAAAGATCTAACTCGATGGACTTCTATGTAGAAAAGTAAACCATAATAATCAATTGTACTAATACAGAAAAGCTACCATTTCAGTGTTGGATAACGCATCAGCAAGAAGTCTAACATCATCATCACCGATTTTCTTTGTCTGTAAATCTATTCTGGACGGTGTCTGTTACAAAAATTTATTTATATGACGAAATTACTGTGAAAAATGAACTACCTTTTTGTTTCTTATTTGAATTGCTGCATTAATGACTGTACAAAAACTTCCAATATTTCCTTTTAGTGTTAAATTCTCGAGTCTCTGTAAAAAGTTACCTATGTGTTTCAGATTGACAAGAAACATTGAAATCTTACTTTGTTGTCTTTCAACACTTCGAACAGGTATCTGACTCCATCATTGCTGAGTTCATTGTGCGAGAGGTCTAATGTCTTAAGTGTCTGTGAAACTCACAATGATCTTTATGACTTAAATGATCTGAATAAAAAGTTACTATGTTATTTTGCAATATAGTCCCCAAATATCGCACGCCATCATCTCCTATTTGGTTATGCGAGAGGCTCAACCTAGTAATTGTCTATTCAAAAACGAAATAATGATCTTCAGTGCATTGACTAAGAAAAAATTTTTCACTTTATTGTAGCGTAATATATCTGCTAGATATTGTGTCTGAGTATCGGTAATTTTCTTCCTGTCGAGATTAATATAAGTGACCGTCTGTGTAAAAGTCAAGATAATGAAGAAGGTATTGGGTCAAGGAAAATCAATTACCGGATCGTTTTGTATTTGGACTGCTGCACTAACTAGTGCATAATAGTCACTACGATTTTTTTCCAGTTTCAGCATCTTGAGCGTCTGTTTCAATCAATGGTGATAGTCTTGAGGGCAAAATACTTTTAAAATCTCACTTTATTGTTTTTCAGAGCGTTAGCAAGGTATTTCATACCATCATCTTGGATCAGATTTGATTCAAGATCTAGTATGGTTAGTGTCTATAGGATGTAGCAAGAGCTCATATGAATAAAATGGTTGTAATTAAAAAAAGTTCACTTGATTTTTCTGTAAGACATCAGCAAAATATTTTGCACCGATATCTCCGATTTGATTTCCAGCAAGATCTAACAAAGTCAGTGTCTATATGAACAAATATATATTGGGAAAGGTTCTATGAGTATTTCACCTGATTCTGTTTTAATGCATCAGCCAAATAGTATGCTCCAACGTCTTCTATTCTGCAGCCTTCACACTGATTTCGCAGAATCAATTTGACTAGTGTCTGTATGATAAAATGCGAAAGTAGTATAGAATTAACGAGAAAATCTAATAAGTTACCGTGTTGTTTTGCAATAATTTAGCAAGATATCTTGCACCATCATTCCCAACTCGGTTGTAAGGAAGACTTAATATAGTTAGCGTCTATTTAGTAAATAAGTAATTAGTAAAAACAAAGTATTTCTAAGACTTGTGTTACCTTGTTCATTTGCAACGCATCAGCGAGACATTGTGTTCCTCTATCTCCGATTCTGTTTCCTGCACACGCAGGCAACCTAGATAATAGCTTTTCCCATTTCTATGTGAAACAAAGTAGACTTGATTATGAATAAGAAGATGAAATACCTCGTCTGATTCCCAAGATCGTGATTTCCAAAAATTTATGCGAGCATATTCGTATTCTCGACTGTTTTTATCATCGAAGCCGAATATCAACGAAGTAATCGTCTGAAGAACCAAAGTGAGCAGATAAAAGAAAAAAACAGAAAATGTATCACCTTATTGTTTCGCAATGCATGAGCTAAATGTTCTGCGCCGATATCTCCAATGTCATTGCTCGAAAGGTTTAGTTTTTCAATTGTCTACATGAAAACAAGAAGAATTAATGACTCATGAGATGAATTGTGAAAATATATTACATTATTATTTTGTAATGCGTCAGCTAGAAACCGTGTCTCATCGTTACCAATTCCCATCGATAGCAGATCCATTGTGTAAAGTCTCTGCAAAAGAATTTAAATTTTATAATAAAATATCTATACGTAAGAAAAATAAATCACTCTGTCATTCCGTATTCGAATGGCTGTACTAACAAGTGCACAATAGTTTCCAATATTGTTTTTTAGTTCCAATTCGATAAGCGTCTACGGGAGAGTACGAAAAAATTAGAGATGAATAAGAGACGATAAAACTGTACTTTGTTTTCTTTTAAGGCATCATAAAGATATTGAGCTCCATCGTTTCCGATTTTGTTATACGAAAGATCTAACTTCACCAAGGCCTATATGTTAGATAAGACAAAGACGTGACTGAAATGAGCTCTCAACATTGTATAACTTTATGATTGCAGAATGCATCAGCTACATATCGTGCTCCTGTATCTGTGATTCGGTTCCTCGCAAGAGTAAGTTGAGTCATGGTCTATGTGAATAAAAAAATATGAAAATAGGTGTATTAAGTTTAGAAAAGATATTACATTGCAGTTTTGTAATCCGGCAGCAAGATACTGTATCATCACATCTCCTAGTTGGCGGCCTGAAATGTCCAGATGCCGAGGTGTCTGAGAAGAAATAGAAAAACATTGACACATTTTAAAGCAAATCTATTAGATTAGTATAATTTCATTGTCAAGTATAAACTCGCTATGAGAATGGACATTACATTATGAACAGTAGCATACGTTACATAAATATTCGTATGTTTGAATCCTCAAGAAAACACAGTTATTGTACAGGGTGTAAAAAAACCATTACGCCCCCCCTTCCAGACCTAAAGACCAAATAGTACCCCCAACAATTTTATACCAAATGAAAGCCCGCAAAAAGTTACGTCTAGTGGTATAGTCAGAACAAATATAGTTTGTAATATTATAACGATTCTAGGCTCAATACATCATTTTCACTTATATATCACAATCTCGAGTACGTCAAAAGCCGTTGTGCTCAACAGTAACTTAAGTTGTGAATCATTAATTATTCAGTTTATTGATAATATTGAATACTAAAAAATGCTTTTTCGAAAGTTTCAGAACTTCGTATGACCCCCATCAGCAGCCTTGAGAGCATCAAATCTTTTTCGCATCGAGCATAACAAGTCAATAAAAAGATCTGTATCATTTTCAAGATCTTTGAGCGTATTCTCCAAATTCGTTTTCAGTGCATCGTAATTGTATCTGCTACGACGATCTTCATTTGCCATTAGTTCCTCAACTTTATCTTTAATAATTGCACCAATATTTTCTGCAGGATTCATGTCAGGACTATTGCCTGGCCAAATTGAATTTCCCCAGAAATTCACATTCTCATCTTCTAAAAGATGTTGTGTTGCATTCGCTTTCATACAAGGTGCCTTGTTGTGAAGAAATATCACTTCGTTCGTATCGAGAACATTGGACGAATCACGAAGAAATGGGATCACCTGTTGTCGAAGGATAGTGTCACGAAAATAAGCGCCATCCCAAGACTGTCCATGTTCTTTTAGCACCCAAAGTAGTTTTTTTGCAGTAAACATGACGAAAACCCCAATACATGTTGCATTGTAAACCATCTCTCGGTATCTTTCATCATCACTGATGTCTTCAATACTTCTTGCCCAAATTCGATCATTTTGATGGTTTGGTTTTCTTACAACATAAATGTAAAATTCATCCGAAGGTGCAACATGTAGAAAATCTTCTTCAGTCCAATCAGTAAGAAAATTTGCTAGCCACTTGCGATCTTCGATATGTGTATTTGTCTTCAGTGGCTTGGCAATCACATGGAAAGCTTTTAATCCTTGCCGATGGCGTTCATTGTAAATAGTCATGTGACTCACCCGCTGTTTTGTTTTCTCTAAAATCTCTCTTGCAACTTTTCGACAGCTACTGCTTTTGACACCATTTTCAGAAGAGATAATGTTTCTGCTCTCCTGATTAAGCACCTGGGGTCGACCACTGCCAAATTGTGTATAACATTCTTCGATAGATTTATTCCAATTTCGTCGTACCCAATCTTCACTGCGACGTAGCTTCTCGGAAATCCAAGGGCGAGTAATAATTGAGTCTCCTGTTCTTGCAATCAGTTCGTCACGTATTTCATGATATGTGACACATCGAATTCTGTCAACGAATCGTTGCTCTTCCGAATCATGAAGCAGATTAGCCATTTTGGTTTTTCAATTAATGTACCATAGAATTTTTTATTAACTAATCAGCAAATTGTTCAACGTCTAACGTGAATAAAAATTACTTGCGCGGACAACAGATACTCAGAAAGAAAATCAATGAAAAAATTTGAAAATATTTCGACACTCGACCATTTTCTTTTCTGTATTCTCTTCTTATCTGTTCGTGCATAAATGTGCACATAACTTTCTTTTTTTCTGTTCCTTCTTCTCGTTATCAGTCATCAATAGTAAGGCTTTTGATAATTCACACTAAACATTACTCAACTCGCTCACGTGCTTTGTGATACTCAAATATAACATTAGAAAACGAAAATTTGGCAAAATACGTGACATATTGGTCTACGATATCGTACATTTAATAAAAACTTGGAGCCATGAAAACTACGATCTATTAATACGTAATTCGAAAGTGAAGAAAGATAACTTGTATCATTTCAATTGATATGAGACTGTGATACATAAGTGAAAATGATGTATTGAGCCTAGAATCGTTATAATATTACAAACTATATTTGTTCTGACTATACCACTAGACGTAACTTTTTGCGGGCTTTCATTTGGTATAAAATTGTTGGGGGTACTATTTGGTCTTTAGGTCTGGAAGGGGGGGCGTAATGGTTTTTTTACACCCTGTACTTCATTCGATTTACAATTGGATAACTGAGTTATCCTTTTCTTTTTTCTATTGATTTCTTCAAAATACATAAGGGCTTTTGACTTATCATTCAAATTAGATTTATCTGGCAATTTATTGTTTGTATGCGAAACCCAAAGATTCTTTGGAATGTAGACGTTAGTAAGATTCTTCTCAAAACCTAAATTCTCAAGATAAGGATGCATTTTCCTCCACCAATGGTTCTAAATTCGAAGAATTGTATCTTTTTTTTTCTTCATGAAGAAAATCTTTCAATTGCTAAATCATTATTAGTGAAACAGTTTTCCGTATTCATTGAATATCTTATGATTTGTTCGTTTATACTGTCTCTTTCCATTTAAGCAATGATCTTTCCTGATTTTCTCGACAATACCTAAAAGTCAATAGATTTTAGCAGTAAAAATATATCTTGTTCAATATCCACCTTGCATTCAAGAGCTTTTCTCTTCGATTGCATTCTCTAGAATGAGTGTCTTTAGTTTTGAAAAAATTGATAACATTCATACATAGAAATACTTTCAAAATCAGTTGAAATAAATCGTATATCAATGAAAATTAGTTTACAGTAGCTACAGAAAAAGGGAATTCATCCTGGTCAGCATATCGTCTATAATTGTATAAGGATATTAAAGTATTCTCTTCGGCTTGTTGAAGAGATTTAGTAATCTTTCATAAGATCAGATATTCTGAAAGTGTAATGTAAAAGCAATCACTAGTATGCTAAGAGAGTATCAGATTTATGTCTGTCTATATGGTATTGTTAAAACTTACCATATTATACAAAATAACACGGCACATACTATCGATTGATGATATTTGTAATATAGTAGATTCAGTTTTGACATCACGGACACATTTTGGCGTTGTATACAAGTTTATTTGCGAGCTTTTAATGATGTAATCACAACTAACAAACCACCGCTTTTCATTCACCCAAAACGGATTATTAAATGGCAAAATTAAAGATTTGATATCAAAGTTAGCAGTTTTTTGCTCAACATCATAGACAAAGAAAAATTCGAATTTATTCAGTAAAGGTAGTCTCATTGGAATGAACTGCTTCCAATAAAACCCGTCGAATATCGAATCTAATTTTACTCTAGACGAAATCAGTTTGAGATGAACAAGTGAAGGTGTCAATTCCAGAAGCGATTCCAAATCTTTGATTGGTAGTTGACAATTACTAATAGTCAATGACATCAGTTGTGGATACACTATGTAATCAAAGAATAAGAAGGTGAGTATGTAAGTGGTCAGACGTAAGGAAATAGTCTTCGCGAAAAGAAAAATAGTCGAATCTTTCAAGTTTCCTTATATAAGACTTTTCTCTTCCGAACAAAATCTTGTTTAAGATTTTGACTATAAACTAATTAAAATTGCCTAAGCGAAAAGATAATTGATATTTCAAAGACTCCTATTTGACTTTCTATACCTGTGATATCGGCAGATGTACGCTGCCTCTTTGCAGAATGCGAAGTCGTAGTCGTAGACGAAGACTTTATTTGATCAGTGACATTCATAATACAATTTCTCATAACGAATTTTTTTAATTGGAGTGAATTGCCAAGAATAACACAATATTGGCAAAAGGTACAATCTTGGATTGTCAGTTGCTCTAATGTTGATTGAATTGGCCACGATACTTTTGGGTCTATATAATCCAAATTATTTATATATAGTTTACGAACCATTGATCCAGTAATCACAGGACAAATAATGGCGAGGACCTCATCATTCTCCCTGCCATATACATCCATCGTAAGTAAGACTAAATTGGTAGAACTAATTTTCTCAAAAAATCGGCGAATTTGAGCCGCACGAATCTTGCAAAAACTTATCGAACGAAGTCTAGTGAATTGACGCATGTCGAAATATGAAAAAAATAATCGGCTATATTGACTTTCATAGTAGTAGCCAGTAGAAAACTTTAGTGAAATTACGTTTGCAAGTGGAACGAAACGAGAAAAGAACTGAATGTCAGAGCTTTGCAGTGAACCAAATTCAAGTTCAAAGCGATCGTAGGTATTCACAGTTGCTCGCAGGTGCGAGCAAACGCGACGAAATGAACGAAGAATAAAGCATGAATCAAGATAATCCAAAATGCGATGAAGCAGCTCAACAGGAAGATTAGGCAGATTTAAGTTTGACATAATTTTATGAATTTTGAGAAGAACAAATAATTACCACTGTAAACAATCACTATTTTACTTTGACGCGATGTTTCGTCGCTCTCTTTCTGGAAAACTAAAACGATACAAAAATATACTTTAATATTTTGTAAAATCTCGCATTCGTCCCCATTTATACATGGAGCACTCAGAAAAGTTTTTTCCTTCGATTCTTCTAAAAGCCTTAGTTTGAGTTCAAGTATTCTGTTATAATGCTTAGACATATTTAGAATTACGTGCAAAATTTCAGACTTCTAAGTCTTGTACTTTGCTGTAATCTATTATTTCTTTTACGTTAATAAGATGCCATTTTCTATACGCTACATAGCGAGTGACTTGTAATAAATGACAGAACTTTGCACTTCATATTTTAATCCCCCAAAGAGATTTTATTAAAAAAAAAGAAAATATACCAAAAGATGCAGCGTGAAAAGCTCTTCAATCTACAGTGTAAAGCTTATGTTAATTGTGCACTTTTTCTTTCAAAATAAACAGTATTCTGAGTGACGAATTCTCGACGCCGCGAAAAGTAGTCCAGAAAATGTTGCTTTTTTTGAAAAGAAAAAGGATATAATTAAAATAAACTGTTGTTTGCAAGTTGTAGAGTTTTTCACGCTGCATATTTCGTCATATTCTGTTTTTTGAGAAAAACCGTATTGGGTGATAAAAGAATAAAGTACGAAAAAAGGAAGTTTTCGTTTGTGTAGAATTTTTGCAGCTAGAAAATGGCTCGCTTAGAATTCTGCTTTTTCTTAATAACAAAAGCTGCATATATAATATAAACTGTTCTTTGAAAATTGTAGAGTATTTCACGCTGCATCTTGTGGTGTATTTTGTTTCTTTTTAAATAAAACTTATCAGGTTACAGATAAGAAAAAAACGCGTTCGTCGCATGCGAAAAAAACACTTTTTTTGCAGAGTTGAAATTTGATCCTTCAGAATTGTGTCGATTTTCAAAATAAATAAATGCAGCTGTAAAACAAGCTGTCTTATGTAAATTCTGAAGCTTTTTACGCTGCATCTTATGGTATGTTTTGTTTTTTGTTTCATAGAAGATATCAGGTCAAGCAAAAATGAAATAAGAAAAAAACGAATTAGTCTTTTATAAAAAAAAGTATTTTTTTCGCAGCACCGAAATTTAATTGCTCAGCACTTTGTCGGTTTTTTAACACAGGAAATGCAACTGTAAAATTAGTTGTCCGCTGTAAATTATAGAGCTTTTCACGCTGCATCTTCTGATATACTTTGTTTTTTAATAAAACGTATTTAGGAATCACAATATGAAATGCAAAGTTCTCCTATTTATGATGAGCCATCCGTTAGCAGGTTGCGTGCACCTGCCATAAAAAAAAATGACGAACCACAGCAAAGTACAAGACTTAGAAGTCTGAAATTTTACACATAGTCCTAAATATTTCTAGCCATCATAACAGAGTGTGTGGGTCTGGGTGTGTGTGGGTCTGGGTGTGTGTGGGTGTGGGTGTGGGTGTGGGGTGTGGGTGGAGTGTGGGTGTGGGTGGGGTGTGGGTGTGTCGGTGTGGGTGTGGGTGTGGGTGTGGGTGTGGGTGGGGGGGGTGTGGGTGTGGGTGTGGGTGTTGGTGTTGCTCTTCCCTTGATCCACACCTACGCGTACACCCACACCCACACCCACACCCACACCCACACCCACACCTACACCCACACTCACCCACAGCCATACCCACACCCACCCACACCCACCCACACCCACACTCACCCACAGCGACACCCACGCCCACCCACACCCACACCCCACACCCACACCCACAGCCACACCCACAGCCACACCCACAACCACAGCCACACCCACAGCCACAGCCACAGCCACACCCGCCCACACCCACACCCACCCTAGTTTATTGCTAATGATTTTTACTAGTTATGACTCTAAGACGCTTCTTTTTAGTTTTTAACCTAAAAACTCGACTTTTCGATTACTTTCTTTGATTCTTCACGTCAACACATGAAAAATGTAGCACTACCCTTTCTGTGCACATTAAAAAGTTTCATTAGAGTTCCTTTAGATCAGAACATTTTTTTGTTTTTTTTCATATGAATGTGTCTTACAGTCAAGTCAAAAAAGAATAGAAGAAGTTCATAAAAGTCAGCTATACTAAATCGAGGGGATTTTCAGTTAGAACAAAAGTTGAAAAATCAGATAGTTTGATAACAACCAAGTGATTGGTATTTTTGTTGGCATTATGATGTCGTTGTACAGTAACGATACGATGAACAACATGGAATCGTTATTAGATAAAAAACATAATAGCCACTACAATTGGTTGCACTTATTGGAGAAATTGGATTATTACAGGAATCGCCATTATAAAAACAAACGTTGCCGACATTGGTTGCACCAATTATCATTGGTAGTGTACCGTTCCACCAACCTGGATAACTAGCACCACAGATGTTAGTTATACTTAATTTTTGAGTCACAAGCTGTGTACCGCTAGCGCCTACAAATCGATACCATCCAGTTGCAAGACTACTCTCCATTGCACAACAACCTCCTACATTAGTATAGAGACGTGATGAATCGCTATTGGTTGTGTAAGTGAAACATTGTATGGGAAGCATGGTAGTGGGAGAACCTGTTGAAACTATAGTAAGATTAAAAGGTACAAAATGATTTTCTATTGCTAGAGTATAGATGGAAATTCAATTCTTTCTATATTTAAAAAAATTGGAACACTATCTTATAGAAATACTGAAAATTGTGAGGAGCTTGATGTTCACTGTTACTATCGTTATAAATTTACCTGTGGCGTTAACATAAAATATAATAACCATAGCCAAAAGTATTTCACAAAGAATGAATCCGATGAATAGAATTAAAACATGTCTGAAAGAAATTTGTGAATTTAATGTAACGTTCCCATTGACACTGCAGATATTGAAAAATATGGATAGATAATTCAGTTTTGCAAGAAAACGATTTCGTTTGATATTTACTTCAATGGTTCTGCTACAACCGCAAGTTGATTTAGTTCGTTGTTAAGTGAACCCTCGGTTTGTCGACTGCTCGAATGAACCATTGGATCTATCAATGAAAATCTAAATTCGAATATAAGGTAAAAGACATTCATCGATGAATTCTCTAATAGAAAAATCATCTTCAAAATACGATTGTCTGTCAGAGATTTTTAATGCTTTTTTTGGGAATCTGAGAATAACTAACTCGTAATTCATTCATCGTTATAATCGTGTTCAAAGGAAGTCTCAGTGCATAACTCATTATTTCAAAAAAGTTTTGATGGATCATGTAATATTCGATTTAATGACACTTGAAGATAGCTAATGAGAAAATCCTTCAGTAATTTCTCGTACATTCTTCCATATTCTTTACATGGTTTTTTCAAAATCGAAAAAATTTAATCAATTCTAGAAAAGACTAATTTATTCAACGTTATAGTATTGAATCACTTGTGTTTCTATCTTGAAATAGAAATCGAGTTTTTAGATTAAAACTTCCATGTAAGATGCTGTTCTCCCGATGAAAGATTTTGAGATATAGTAGTGAGCCTAACGATACAAAGTTAAGGATGAGTTGACTACTCTCATTATCAGTTCATGGCACCGTGGTGGTTTATTTTGAGAAAATAATTGCTAAAAAATACACGATTAACTATGACAAGAGCAGGGATTTTGTTTTTAATAAAAAAACATCGTTCCAGGACGGATAAAACTGTATCATAAGTTGATTAATAATTCATTTTGGTTGAGAAAGATACTTTTAAGAGTTAACGTCTCCTATTATCAAGAGAAGGCATTCTATGTCTAAACGCTTATTGTGGTGATGCCATTAACCCTTTCAATCCCGTCATTTTCTTGCGTTCTGTACGAACAAGAAAAAAAAAGTTCAATCCCTCTCTTTTGCGTTCTGTCGTCATGATCAGCTGTATTTTAACTCTATATGTATTGAAATCAATATGCACTGTAAAATATAGAATGCCTATATGAATTTGCAAAGGATATTCTAGAAATGCCCATACGAATTCAGTGATAAATTTCTACTTTTTTGAAAATAAAATACTGGTATTCAAGTTTTGATTTAATGCAGGAAATCAAATTGAATTTCCATTATTGAGAAAATCAAGCATTTTCTAAATAATAGAAATTCGATGAATGAATGATAAAAGTTTGAATGCTTTAGTTACTAAAGTCGGGGTGTGTGGGTGTCGGTGTGAGTGTGGGTGTGGGTGT